TAGAGTAATGGTGACAGCTGTGCATTACGCAGAGCTGAAGCAGTAAGAAGGACGCACCGGATTGTTTCTGTCAGGCTGAATCCTGTAGCGTGTGATGAAGTTTGGCTTTCCAGTCGAGTCCACCACCATCAGGAGGGCGTTAAACAACCAGAAAGCCAGCGTTGGCACCAACATGGTCCCTGTTAAACACCAAAAAGAAAAGAAAAAATTTCTACTTGTGCATAAAACTCTTTATTTTGGGGGAAATGATAAGATTATGAGTCACGTTCATGTCCAAATGGTTTTAATGAAGCGAACTTGAGCTGATTTGAGTCCTGACTGCAGTCAGTTCAGTCTAGAACAACAGATGCGTGAACATTTCATGATCAATGTCCAGAGGGGAGGCCATGTAAAGGTGAAAAACAACTCCTCTAACCGATAAAAAACAAGGCCGCCTCATTTCCACCCAAGGCCTGGTGAAGTTTGGTCCACTGTGTTTGCCAGAAATCTCCCGACGCTCCCCAAAACCTCTGCAGATGCCTGCAAACACACACGGATCATTAATAACTGATGCTCAGCAACAGCCAGGAGTACAAAGAGCACATGTTTAGAAAGGCCAGGCGAAACACTTACCATGTCACTGAGTTCCTAAACCCCACCAGGAAGAAAAGCCCAGATCCAATGACAAAAGCGGCTTTCTTCAACGAATCCCAAAGTCCTCCTGTATTCTCCTTTTTACAGAGATGAGCATATGATTAACATCCTTGTAATTACCAGTCAACTAATGCATGAAGTTCGCGCACTTTATAACTAAACTGGTTCGTGCACTTTCACACGAGCAGTGAAAAGATTATTATTATTATTATTATTATGAGTAAATCCATCCCCACTATAAAATAAGTCCACATTTCTGACGGGAACAGGATCAGTCTGATGTATTATTGCGTGATTGTGTTATAGAGTTCTTCTTTGTCTGATGTTTGTTTTCACTGATCAAATGTCAACAAACACGTAAACAAGTAAACATCGTTCGCGTCTGAAGTTCTGCTTTAAACTACACTGCGCTGATGTGTCTCGTTTCTTCGCAAACTTCGGTCGGGTTCAGAACAAGCAGAGCGAAACATTTGGAATGTAACACTGTAGCGCTGCTGATGATCTCGAACTAATGCTGTTACAAACGCGTTACACTGAAGCGTCGGTCACGCAGAACAAACCCAAACAACTGACCTAAAGCAGCAGAATGAAGTGCAGAGAGTTATAAAGTGCAGAGACTCACTCCGGCCATGCTGTGTGTCTGCAGCTCCGCGCATCTGTCAGTGGCTCCGC